CCGTTACCCAGAAAATTCCGGGGATAGGGGATATTTTTCCAGGTTCGGGAGATGATGTAATGGGCAATTTCTGGAATTTCCGAGAACATTTTTCCGCTACCCGTAAAATTCTGGGGATGGGGAGTTTTTTTTAAAGGTTTGAGAGAGTCATCTCGTTACCCGGAAGTGCTCTGCCCCAATTGTTCTGGCTAACGGATATATAATTAAGTACAACTGCCCCCCCCCCATGCCAGATATTACATAATGTGAAAAATTCAGCCACTCATCAATTAGAATATATATATATATATATATATATATATATATATATATATATATATATATATATATATATATATATATATATATATATATATATATATATATATATATATATATATATATTCTAATTGATGAGTGGCTGAATTTTTCATTTACAGTATGTAATATCTGGCAGGTAGTTGCACTTAATTATTTACCGGGTAAGCATAATTTTAAATATACTCAGTCTTCCGCACACATGTATAGATACAGGCTTTAAATCTAAGATGGAATTATGTAAAGCATATAAGAATCACAGCCTCTTTGAAATTCATTTTAAGTACTGTACAGGCATATGCAAAGAGCAACTGATGGCTAACGAGAAGACCAAGCCTTTGAAGGAAAGGTGGGGAAGAAGAGAGGGGATTTGATGGGGGAAGGCAGGGATAAGAAGGTAGGTTAGGTTAGGTGGGTGGTCAAGGTGCTAATGGACATAAGAAGGTCTCATTTAGAAGTTAAAGTTTATAAGAATACCGTATAAAAATTATCTTAGATTTGGCAGCACTGAGGGAAGGTACTCTGAGAGTAGAGTAGAGGTTTTCTTGTCTTGTTTGTGATAACCCATATTTGATGTTGTCTTGTCTCTTCTCTGTCCACTTCTTTATAGTAAGTCAAATTTGGTGTGCTTGAAAATTTTGGATGAATTTAATGAAGTAAAAGTGTATTAGTATTTCAGTTTCTGGTTTGAAAATGATGGTCCTGTTACTAGGCAGAGTACTGTTGGGGTTGTAGCTATTATTGGTGGTTGGGTTGATTGACTGATTGAATAATAAATAGTGCAGTGTCAAAAAAAAGTAATGTACAGTGATGTGCACAGTATTTCAATGTCATTAATATGAAGTTTGGTTACCAAATGTAGTGGGATCAGTATGCCACAGAGCCACGCATGTCAACCCTCCCGGGACGTCATGAGATGCATGTAGCATTTTTTAGCTCATTGGACTCCATTAAATTATAATACAAATTTATAGATAAATCTCATAAGATTTCAAACTACATGTATATTTAAAAGATTATAAAGGTACCTTATATTTATTGGTTCTTGAAATGTGTGTTTTGCCTATTGCAAGAACCCTTGTTGAGTGAGATATAACTATAATCATGTATGTTGTAGCTTTTAAAGAGTTATTTACTTAAAATTAAGTTAAAATGGCCATATTGTTTCAGTGATAAATATTTGATGGTACAGTATTGACTTAGGTAGCTACTGTCTTGAAATAGTTAATGTATGAAAATGTAGTTAATTGAAGATCATTTTTACTCATGTAAATTCAATACTTTGTGTGTATATTTTTATGAGATGTTTTTCTTTTAGCCGCATTACTACATGAAGCACGAGGTCTTGGGTCTTCCACCACCACTTGAATTTGAAGAACCACAATTGGGATCAACTGATTGGTCAGGTAGGAATCCTTAAGCATTTCAAATTTTATGTGTTTTACCATTATCATCATCTGTCTTGTCTCTTTCTAGCTTATGCCCTTTAGCCAGGCATTATCTATTTTTCTAGCATATGCCCTTTGATGAGGTAGCTTGTGATACAAGCTGCTTACTGGGGTATTAGGGTGTTTAGACTACAATTCATAATATTATCCAATGTTCCTCATGAACCCATTAAATGGGTATGCCAGTCACATTTTCCATTCCATCATACCATTGGCCTTAGATGAAAAGGACTTAGTGCAACTGTTGCCCTCGAGAGGCAGGTCTTATAGAGCTGTGTCTGCTCAATCAAGCTACTGTTTGCTGATTTTTTTTCAAGGACAATTCATCAGTTTGAAATATAATTCTTAGCTGACTGCTATAGACAGCAGATACATGTAACAATAAAAAAACAAGATTGAAATTACGTATATCTACCCAAAATTACAAGTTAAAAAATAACAATAACACAGCCTGCCCTGGTAGGGGGAAGAACTAGGGAGATGCAGGTACAAGGACAGTCTAACTTGGGGACAAGCCAAGTCCACACAACATTTACAGCCTGAGATCCAATTGTTTTTCTGTGGAGTGCCATCTATTAACCTCTTTTCCTGATCTCTTACTGCTATCTGAACTTCAACTGACCAAGGCACCTTCACCTAAACCTTTTCAAGTCTTCAACTACTGTACAACCTTTAGATCTCTTAATATTCTAAGAGGTGTTTGTGCGTGCTGCAACACACGTACAATACACCCATAGCTCGACCCACGGATCTTGAATCTTCTCTTTATGATGTCTTCTGGCTCAAAATATATCTTAACAATCATAACTATTTTTCTTTGTTTTCTTTACTGTTCTCCCAACTCTTCCATCCAACTACAGTATATGGGACTCTTGAGTATCTCATTTCTTGTCCTGAGTCGTTGTTAACCACACACCCCAACACCGAGCTCTTCTACTTAGGGTGTTTCAATGTACATCACAGAGAGTTGAATTGAATTGAAATAGTTTATTTAGCCAGAAAAACAGATACAGAGTGGATAATAATAACAATATTAACATGGCTGAGCCAGTTAAGAACCTGAGCTCTCTTTTAGACACCTGATATATACTATACATTTATCTCAAGGAAGTATTATGTAACATTTAGTATCATCTGGAATACATGTATTACAATAGCATGGTGGCAATAAGAACATCTCATAATGTTACCACGGTTATCACTTCAATATTTATTTATTTTTTTTTTAGTTTATTTTTTGTATTTATTTATATATATGTAACCGGTCGGGATTCTCTCACTTGACTGGGGTTTTATGTTATTAGTGGATGGTAATGCAGTGGAAGCACCCCTTGGAGAAAAACCCGAACCAGCGCAAACACACTTAAATTACTAAAAAATTAATTCTCCGTGACCCGTGGAAAGATAGCACCTGTGATTGGGATGAATGAGACGCACTGTAAAATATGACACTTCTATTCCCTCCAACACCACAACCACAATCAATAATGGTACACCAACATATGTGCACCTCTTAGCCTGGCTTAAGACACGACACTGGGGAACAAAAGTTATACATGATATCAAAATTATTAAGAAAATATTAAATGCATTAAAGGAAGACTAAAGCAACAGTTTTACTTACAACAGAAAGGAGGAACCTCATCTGAAAACAGTTCCCTCATTATCTGTTATCACTTAGTGGCACATTAACATTAGAAAACAATACCATCAAAGTATTAAAAAATGACGCTTACACACATGAACAGGCCTTAAGGGCATTCAACAAAATAATATCAATCACTGAGAAAATGGTAAAGAAAATATTATGAAATTATTAACTCCACCATGAATAGGCCTTAAGGGCACTCAACAAAATAATACCAGTCCCTGAGAACTGCGAATAAACAATATTAAGAAAATTATTAACTATACACACATTCTAAAAACACCTAACCACTATTTCCCTTAACATGCATCACACAAGCTCAGAACATATCCATACTGGTAAGAGAACAGTGTCTGAGTATCCACTAGACTCTTGGTCTCAGTGTGTGACCGTTCATTCACTCAGACTGCCTCAATTCACACTCAGTACATCCATGGATGGGAAGAGAGAACGTCAGCAGGTGACCCTGTCCAGTAGATAATACCTCTAGCTGACCGAAGACATGTGGTGTTGTGAACCCACGTAGGAAGAACTGATCAACCAATGCTGATGCTGGTCCCACGTAGTTTTAGTTGTCGGAAGCACTCGTTCACTCAAGAGATCCCAGCTAAAACCTTGCTAACCAGTGACAAGCCTGCTCTGATAGTTCCAATCGCGACAATCATCAATTGTCAACGGCAGTTGTCAAACGGCAGTCATCAATCGCAGTCAAGTGGGTTCTGCTGAAACCCTGCAATGAACTCACTGTTAGCTAATGTTAACTTCTATCACCGCCCTAGCTAAACCCTGTCTGAGATCGAATAAACTTACTTGTTATACTGCAATGTTGTGCACAGGAGACCGTACCACGTGACCGTTTTGTCCTGCCTGGACGCGCAGACCGCCCTATCTCTTCGAGCGCTGTCGTCCAACTGAGAACCAACCAGCCTCGTGCCCCAAGGCGTGAGCTTGGACTCGGGACATATTTTCCGCACAACTAATAGCTTAATTGGGACACACGTAACACATTTAGACTGAGAAACGATCTATGATAATTTTCAATTTAATAACTCATTTAATTTCATGATTCACGTCCATAACGATTCGGTAGATTACATTTAATATTATATAGGCCTGGTTCCAGATGCGCTCACTACGTCCGGCGTGGGAGCCACCCTCGCTCAGTCCCTGTCACGTAGATTTGAATGACTCAGCGTATCGCCATTATTGGTATTACATATACATAAATTACAGTTGAATTGAAAAACATAAGAATAATGGGGGAGCAGTACAAGATGGGTTTTACAGTAATAAAGTTGAACAAGAGGACAGAGCTGTCAGGATTATGTCTAGTTGGCAATTATGTTTATTGCAATGGTAATTACTTATCTATTTACAGTACATGATAATTTCCGATAAAATGGTTTTGATGGCACAATAAAAGCAAGTACAGTACTGTAAATATAGTAGGTGTTACAAGAAATATTAATACTTAGACAATAGATATTTTTTAAGAGATGATTTAAAGGAAGGGAGCGTAGTCTTTGCTCGGATGGGTGGGGGTAAGTTGTTCCACACCTTCACACCGTGATATTTTATGGAGGTCTGGGACTGAGAGGAGTGCATGAGGGGTGGTCTTAGTAGCTCTGGGTGCCTTAAGTTGTATCTCTGATTATTTTGGAACTGGAAATAATTATTGTCAAGCAAGTGATTGAGAGATTTGTAAACAAAGAGGGCACAGCAGTAGGTGTTAATATCTTCGAATTTAACATTTTCAATTTAGCAAATTTTTTGTTTGTGTGATCTATTTTTTTCAAGTAGGTCATTGTCTGTACAACTCTCTTTTGTGCAGTAACCAGAGATTATGTTTTTGAAGAGCCAGAGGCCCCCCATAGTGTGTGACAGTGTATCAGGTGTTGGTAAACAAGATCATGATAGATTTCTTTCATTGCTGTGACAGTGAGTGACTGTCGAGTGTGATACATGATACCGCACTGTTTATTGACTTTACTGTGAATGGCTTGTATGTGGTTTCTCCAGTTAAGTTTCTCATCAACAATAACTCCGAGGAATTTTGTATTTTGTTCGCGTTTGAGAACTGTATTACCAAGGTAAAGGGGGTCCAAGTCTGGGGATAAGATTTTCCTTCTGTGAAAGATCGTGTAGTAGGTTTTCTCAAAGTTTAAGGTCAGTTTATTATGTATTACCCAGGTCCCGACTTTAGTCAATTCAGTGTTCATAGTTCTCATCAAGGAATGGAGGTCTGAGTTGCTGGCATAGAGATTACTATCGTCTGCAAATAAGTTGTATTTTATAAGTGTGCTGGCGTGGACTATGTCGTTTCTGTACAACAAAAACAGTACTGGACCGAGAATGGAACCTTGGGGGACTCCATACAAGATTGGTGATTATTATAGCAGACATACTGCATCCTGTTGGACAGATATGAGGTAAACCAATTGTGGGACAGGCCCCTAATGCTGTAATGTTCAAGCTTTGAAAGGAGGATGGTATGGTCGACAGTATTGAAGGCTTTAAAGAGGTCCAAGAATATACCGACTGTAAACTGACTGTCATCAAAGGAATTAAAGATGTCATTAGTAAAGGATAGCAGAGCACTCTCAGTCGACCTTCTAGCTTGGCTTGGCTCTGCAAGGGATGCTCCAGGTGGAGTCGAGGCACTCTTTTTTTTTTCCTTGCTTAATGATAAGGAACAAATAATTAAACACCCTACATGTGTTCCAGATCGACATGACCAACTTGTTAATATTCTTGATCTTTGTTCTACCTCTAACCCCTCACACTATTCATATTCAGTTTCTGTGATCACTATCTTATTTCTATTAAATCAAACAGGGTATGACCACCTTTCCCACCTCCTTCTAAATGCCAACTAATGGCACTATCAGAGGGCACACTGGCTGTCCTTGTGAGAAATCTCCGACTTTCCCTGTGATGAATGTGGCTTTTACACTTGGGACACCTCAGTATGTACTGACGGTATTGCATTGGTTATACCGGGTTGTATGTGTGCATTTATCTCATCTTTCAAAACTTTCACTTTACAATCATGGTTTGATAACTCTTGTTCTCTTGCATGAAAGGAGAGAGATAGAGATAAGGCATATCAAGTTATGAAACTATCTCCTCCTGTTACCCATTCCTCTTTCATTATTTCTGGGAATCGTTGTAAAGCTATTCTTATGGCCAAGCGGAATTTTATTAAAAAATGACCGCTGACCTGACTAACTCTTATTCCAGTAAATCTTTCTGGTCCTTAATCAAAAACATCTGTAATAACTTCTGCATTCCCTCTTTTCCTCCTCTTTTC